TTGGTTTTCAAAATTGGGGTGGGGTTCCTGACCCCCTGGACTCCCCTGGATTGGCCTGTGGTGTCTCAATAAAATCAAAAGTTAAATGTCCAAAGAAGTATAAGCTTTTTTTTGTTGTCATACTTATGTTTCAGGTTTATATCATAACAGAAATTCAACTTCTCTGTGTCAATTTTGTTTTGTAAATAAGTACATGAAGTAAGGCATAGGCTTGTACACCAAGTTACGATGGAAATAATAACTTAGATGTAAGTTTGATTACAATTAGATATATTTTTGTTGATTTTATTTATCACTTTGTATAATATATTTAAAGATTTGCTTAAAATAGTCTTTATTTTGCTCTTTGATATGTTCGATGCAGACCCGTTGTCGAAATGTGTGTCCGAGAATTTTATTTTCAATAACATCGCGGGAAATAGTGAATAATTTTTTAATTTATTGATAAAAAATGATAAATTAGAATGGAATACGTATTTCAGACATTGTGAAATATGACAGATTTAATAAATGAATGATATTACAGGTAGATCTAGGTCCATAAAAATATATACTATTTTGACGTGACGTGAGATAAACACATAGGCCTATTGATGATTTGAGATTTGCCGAGCGCGCTCCCCCGCCTCGGCCTCGGTTAAACGGCTCATCGTCTATAACGCCCACCAATTATTTGGACCCCCTTGGTAGCGCAATAGCGAGCGATCACTGTACCTACATAATATGTGTTGAGTGATCCAGCAGAAAGTGTGTTACCCTTAAACTCACACAAGACACCATATTGCAATTTTACGTTTTGACCCTTTAATTGCCAACTATAAAAAATTAAGTCAAAGTATTTAATGAATTTATCTTATTTTAGTCTTACAATAGCTTCAGAGGGGTTAAGGTGAAATGGGGTTTATCATGTTCAAGGTTATTTTACTTATATAGCGACATGCCTGCATGCTCATTTTCATATATTTATGTGGTATCCCACTGAGATACCATGCCGCAGATGGATGCCCCACTCCGACACATTATACTTACTCTGAGCCGACCTGTCCTTGTTTTATCCTCTTTAATGCTGCTTGTTGGGCAGGGTAACAACAACTACCATCTTTAACGTGTGCCATTTCCGGGTTCGAATCCCGACCTTCTGCTCTCTGGGCAGGCGCTGTATCCACTACACCGCAGAGGTGCTTAAGCTAATTGTGTGCTGAAATCATTAATGTTCGGACTACTACAAGCCGCCAAAACACATGCATGTCGCTTTGTATGTACAATAATCCGGAATGCGACATTAAACCCCACATTCCCTCATCTGTCACCTGAAAATTAAATGAAAACTCAAACTACAATTACCGTATGCGACGTAATAAGCGCCCCGCTCTAATAAGCGCCCACGGCGATATTTGCTAATATATTGGCGAGTGAACAATCTCAATTAGCACCTCTTCCGATTGATCAATGTACACAAGACTTATTTATTCATGTATAATACGCACTTGTGTGTTATATGTACCCTTAATTATTTGCATTTAAGTCCTGGAAAAATATATCTGTCGTATATAAACATTTCAGGCTGTCAGCATAAACCACAAAATCTACTATCTTTTAACTCTGATTTTTTTCACCAAAATAATATTCTAATAAGAGCCCCCAATTTCTAATTTTGAGAGCACCCTGGGCGCTTATTGCGTCGAATACGGTAATCATCCTGTATTAGAATATATCGTAAGTCATTGCATATGGTATTAATGATCATAGGTTTCCTTGCTAACTTGTCAAACCTCAGATTGAACTATGACTGATACGACAGTTAATTGCGAAAAAATATAAATTTCTAATTTTAGATATTGCCTCTGTAAAAAAGTGTCAAATTCAAAAACCTGATATTCCTTGATTCTGAAGTAAAAAGTGACAAAAAATATAATTTTCCCAATCATAAATACATTTGACACCTATTCAATATCATATCAATTTTAGCCAGGGTTTGAAAAAAAATTACTCCAAGCAAACAAGTCATTGATAATTCCTAAGTTTCCAGAGGAGAAGCAACACAGAAATTATTTACCAGGACTTGAAAGGTTCTCCCGAATATCGTTTCCTACTCCTGGATGCAAATATAACGATGTAAATTTTGTGTTTGGGGCAAAAAAGTTACGAGAAATCTGTTAAATGATTATCAATAATAAAGACAAGATGATTGATAGCTCGTTATGTCCGATTTCTCGTAAGTATCAGCAAGTGAACGTGACATGCGGACAGGATTGATTGTAATAAGCAATGTGATAATGATTAATTTGAGTAACGCACTTCACTGCTTCGATCATCTTTGGGCTTTTTCTGCTCCAGTTATGTTCACTTGCACCAATTATTTCTTGACTTGATCTAATCTATCAAATGTTAAATGTCCGAAAAGAAGTCGGATGATGACATGTCATTGGAGGTAGGAGGATGCAGAAGAATCAGTTATAGACGGCTTTTACGAAATTTCAGCATGATTGAGATAAACATTAGTTTTAATTTACGCTAAAGCCTAAATCTCACAGACAATGCGACCGCGACGCAACCTCCTGGCGACCAAAATATTTGACAATCGCAATAAGGTTTCAGGGATCTTTGAAAGGTTTCACTGAGGTCGCTACAAGGTTTCAGAGCGGTAGCAAAACCCATTCGGTCACAGCCAGTCTTTTGAACATGCACAAAAGACTGGCTGCGACTGATTTGGTCGCTCGGAGGTTTCATTGGTTTCCTAGATGTCCCCAAGTGGTGATTGGTTTCCACTGTACGGCGATCGGTTTCGTCTACACAAGGGTGTTGACTCTTTTGCAACCTATTGGCGACCTATTGGTGATTGATCAATGATGAGGCGGTGACCAACTGGCGCTTTATCAGTGACTGGTTGTCAATCGGTTGCAAAGTGAATTCCAAGCGTGCGTCGAACATTCTCTGTTGGGTTTGCAACATGTCACCGTCTATAAATAGACCCATCTGTGCGTTACAGCATCATTTGGTCAAGTACTCAGAGTTCACATCAATTATTTCCATTCATCACTATGGTCCGTAAAGGCAGGAAAATCAAAGAACCAGAAATTGTAGAAGATACAATAGAGACAACTGCTGTGGTGCACAGTTTGCTACAACTGAGCCAGAGCCAACAACATCTCAACAAAGGAAGAGTAGAGGGAGCCAGGTTTACTTGGTGCTCTCATGGCGAAATGCTTTCCATCTGTGGACCCAACTGCATGTGGAAAGTTCCATCTTCACTCGAATTAGTCACTCAGTTGGCGCCACTCTTCAGGTGTTGAGGGTCTTCACTACTTCATCACCATACTCTTTGATGATGGTTTCACAAACTTCACGAACAAATGATATTGTGTTGTGTGCCACTCTGAATGATGAGGCCAAGCTGTGATAACTGTTCCCAGTTGCCAGGAACCAAAGGGTGACAGAAAGCTTCAGCCCAGGACTCAAAGATCTTCTCCAATTAGTGTCTTCTTTGGTCAATCTGGGTGTGAGTCTTTGTACGAGTTCATCAAACATGACAGGCTCCATTCTGAGGTGGCCCACGAAATCATCACTCTGCAATCAGATTCTCATAGTCTCCTTGCTGTGGCCTTCTTGTGATCCAAGGTCTCGGACAATACTGCCTTCGCCTTGTCCTTCTCATTCTTCTGTACACAATCATGGCAGCAACTGCATCATTTTGATTTATTCTTTGCAGGCAGAGCAACTGCAACTGTTCTGCTGTTAACATCTTGACAACTTGCAAAGAAATGATTTGATTCCGAAAAGCACCTTTTTTATATGCATTATGTTTTGATCGGTGATCGATCGACAACTAGTCACCGACCAGTCCCCGTTCAGTTGCAAGAAGTCACCGAAGATTCGCTGACAAGTCACTGATCGGTCTTAACCAGTTGCAAACATTTCGGCGTATCTGCGGTGAACAGTTGCCAATCAATCACTGACAAGTTGCAAAACCTATCGCTGATCGATCGGCGATCATACCCTTATTCCAAATATGGGCACTGGTCTCAGCGATTGCCAGTCTCTCGCAAAGGAAATCAGTCGCCAATAGGTTGCATCGCGGCCACATTGTCTGTGTGACTGTAGCTTAAACAGTTTTTCAGTAAACTATTAGGATTTTTATTCATCTCACGTTCACAATATATCTCCTTGGTAGCATGCATTTGTCTTTAATTTATGGAAAGTGTTAACATGCTACTAAAATAATTGAGAAACAAATTAGGCTGTCAAGAGTTACAAAGAGTTTACAAAACTGGAGTTCTGGAAATTTTTGTGAAGAGTTTGGAAATGGCTATTTCTCAGCATGGTACACTTGCCTGGCACGGGTGTCCCAGTCGTCTAAGTTGCCACTATTTGCTGTACAGAGTTGTGTCCCTTATGCACGCCAGAAACCTATGATTGTGGGTTCGAATCCCGGTTCACCCCAATTATGTTTTTAGGTTTTCAGCACCATACCCGTGCTCGTGGGTTTCAGCGAAGTGGTAAACATCTGAGACCTGCATCACTTCAGGCTTTCCTCTCAGATTGAACTGACATGCCGCGATATATCTGTAATACTAATAAAAGCGGCGTTAAACCCAACTCACTCACTCACCTGGTTACACTATGTAGATATTTGTACAGATGAGATGTGGTATATTACTGGATGGGCAGATGAAACTAGGCAGGCACTCTTTGACACTCTGCTCAGCACTCATCTCAATGTGGAGCGCCACCTGGTGGCAAGATGATAGCACACACAGACTAACAGCTCCAACTCGTTTAAATAAAAACAAAGTAAATATCTTCCTGACAGGCATTGTTCTACAAAGCGATCTTAGCGCTATGACTATCGTAAGCCAGTGTTAAAGTATGGAAGTTACGATTACCTTAGCGCTAAGATGGCTTTGTGGAACAGGGTCCAGGATCCTAACTTGGACTACGACAAGGGGAAGCATCATGGGTTTCACCTTAGAACTTGTCTCAATGTTGTTTTTCTTTTTCAGGATGTTCCGGATTGTCTCCACCAGCGACTACCATTTTACTAATATTCCTGATATTTGAGGGTCTTTTGTTTGGCATCTTCACAGCGATAATGTTTGGCACACAACTGTCAGCTATCTGCACCGATGAAACAGTAAGTATGGATGATCATGTAATAAAGGGAAATAGCATTACAGCAGTGTAGAGTAGGTAAATAGTATATGTATGATAGCGGTTAGTGGGAAATAGTATTATTGCTGTGTAGCATTATATTAGTGTCAAGAGATAAGGTAGTACTTGTAAATATATATGTTAGCAGTAAGTGGGAAAATAGTATTGTAGCTTCGTAATATTGGAAAACAGAATGATAACACTGTTTTGCTGTATAGGATTCGGGTGACTCCTGAAGATCCGGGGTAGAATAGGTCTTCAGCAACCCATGCTTGCCGTAAAAGGTGACTCTGCTTGTCATAAGGGGCAACTAACAGGATCGGGTGGTCAGGCTCGCTGACTTGGTTGATGCATGTCATTGTATCCCAATAGCATGGATCGATGGTCATGATGTCAATCACTGGTTTGTCCACTCCAGACTTGATTATTTACAGACCGCTGCCATATAGCTGGAATATTGCTGAGTGCAGCGTTAAACAAACAAACAAACAAACAAACAAAGGATTCAGGTACTTTTTATCCAAATCCAGCCCCATATTATCACCTCTAAAGCTGGCAGAGCAGTTATTTTCTGATCAATACAAAATGACATGATGTGCACATGCAATGTATCCCATCTGCAAATATTACTTAAAATAGTGCTTAGTCAGCATTAAGGTCATGTGAGGCTTTTTTAAATACTAACCTGATTTATTTTTTTACTCAGATATTTATTCGCAAAATCATACTTATATACCTGCGAATATCTGGGTTATGGCTGGTGTTCGGCATCCCTTGCTTGTCATAAGAGGCAACTAACAGGATCGGGTGGTCAGGCCCGCTGACTTTGTTCATGCATGTCACCGGAGGTTGACACTCATGATGTCAATTGTCTGGTCCAAATTTGATTATTTACATACCGCCATCATATTGCTGGAATATTGCTGAGTGTGGTGAAAAACATACAAACAAATATAATGTCTTGTGCCAAATCTATGCAGTTTGTGCTTATTTTCAATAAACATTCAATGAGATGAAAGTGCTCCATCACACTGGAGTCATGTCTTGACCGTGATGGCAGGATTTGATTGGAAAACAGCAATCACGTTTGAGGTTGTCTTGTCAACATTGTGCAGATGTGACTTGAAGTGTGTTACTGGGTTATTCCAGCTCAGGCGAGACATCAGCTGATGTATCATTTCCCACGTGGATGGATGACAGTGTAACATGATGAGTTGTGAAAATTACTTCTGGTTTTTTTCACAGCAAGAGCTGTATAACATGAACTATGTAAAAATTAAGTTGACGCTCACCAATAGGATACCATCAACATTGGACAGATTACATGAGGCAGTTGGACTGGTGCCAGACTTTCATACTAGGAGAGGGGGCACGGGTGGCCCAGTTGTCTAAGGCGCTGCGATTCCCTGTGCAGAGTTGCGTCCCTTGGGCAAGCCAGAAACCTATGATTGTGGGTTTGAATCCCGGTTCGCCCCGATTATGTTTCTAGGTTTGTCAGCACCATACCCGTGCTCGTGGGTTTCACCGAAGTGGTAAACATCTGAGACCTGCATCACTTGGGGCTTTCCTCCCACATTAAGCTGACATGCCGTGATATAACTGGAATACTGTTAAAAGCGGAGTTAAACCCAACTTATTCACTCACTCACTCATATTGAGATTGGTTTCTAGGTTTGGCAGCACCTTATTGGGTGACTGTTTGAGAAGCCACATACTTCTATTTTTATTGAACAATGTTTTTTTTGGAAAATACATTCCTTGTTTCCATGATCCGGCTGCGCCTAATTTTTTAGATATATTTTTTGTACTGTGAAGAAAAAACTCCAACTCCAACTTTGTTTTTAGCCCTTTTTGCACCTCAAGCTACAGGCGGCATGGCCAAGAGAGGACATGGGGTACATTTAGAATCAAGAACTGTTATAGATTATTAGCACCCTACCCATGATCATTGGTTTCACCAACATGGGAAATGTCTTTAGACCTGCATCACTACAGGATTTGCTCCCACATCAAGCTGACACGCCATGTTAAACCAAACTCATTCAGTCTCTCTGGGGTGGAAGTGTCTCTTTGCAAAGACTGTTAATATAACATTCTTGTTTCTCCTGACCCACTGCGTCACGCCAAAGACCTGGGTTCGATTCCCGACATGGGTACAATGTGTGAACCCCCGCCGTGTTATTGCTGGAATATTGCTAAAAGCGGCGTAAAACCATACTATCTCACTCCTGACCCACTGCAAAAAAGAATTTTTTCAACTCAAATTTTGTTCCTTTTACTGACTATTAGCCCATACGATAGGTAGTCGAGTGTTTAAAGTGTTTGCTCTTCACATCGAAGGACCCCGCCGTGATATTGCTTGAATATTGCTAAAAGCGGTGTAAAATCAAACTCACTCACTCACTCACTCACACCGAAGGCCTTATTTCGATTCCCCCCATGTACATACATGATCGACTGGTGTCGACTTGGAGGTGAACCTTTACCCTTTCTCAGTCTTCTTTACAAGGGCATTGGACTGGTATTTACCAGTTCTCTGTAAACAATTTATCAAGGTTTCCTTCCATGTGGCAGTCAGAGTTCCTACAGGGCTGTTCCGATTGAACCTGTTTTGTTTCTCCTTCAACATGTTTTTAAGATAGGCACCATTTCTTTTGCTATGCTTTTATCTCTCCCAAACATGTTTTCTTTGGAAAATTTAAGCGCTGAAAGTTTTTCTTGTGAAACCTGACTTTTTTCAAAGCAATTCTAAATATTGTCTTTAATCATGTGGAATTGTGTTTGGAAGTTGCCTCCTTCTCAGTGGCCTAGCAACCAATATCAACTCAATCAATCTTTAGCTGGTTGAAAGAAGCGAAGTGAATAAGAGCCCATCTTTCAAGGTCTTGAGACAGTCTAGGTCACAGAAGTGCCTAACACCAAGCAGGAGGACGGCTTCAGTATGTTGTATTACAGCCAACAGTCTTAACACTTGAGGTTGAATAGGTGGCCGTACCCTATGTTTGTTGTATGAGTTGTCTCATGAGCTTGAGGATCATCTTCCTGAGCCAAGGGAATTAACTGTCTATAAAAGTCCAGTTAACATCCTTGCCGAACTAGGCTGGAATTTCTGGGCTGGATCGTAGTGTTCCCAGTGGCTATCACAAGTAATGTCCCTTCTATGTCCATCCTACTGACCAATCAGGTTCCACCTCTCATATCACTTGCATTTGTTTCAAATAAAATGGCATCACCCAGTGAAGACAATATGATCGATAATCAAGATCTGTATTTACTTCGCAAAGTGCATCAAATCCCGTGAGCACTTTGATTGGAAACTGTGTAGAGAGGAAATAGTTTATGTATAACAGCAGTTAATGGGCAAATAGTATTGTAGCCGTGTTGATTGTGAATATTTAAGGTATGATTGTAGTTAGTGGGAAAATAGTATTATCACTATGTTGAGTGGGAATATCATATTTATTACTCCCTTGCGAAGAGATCCTGTTTAATAACATCCAGATGTAATACACATTGTGTAGCACCAAAGCATGTGCTTATGTATGGTGGGATCATTTCATAAAATTGGTATTACATGGGAGCTGGTTTAGTATCACAGCAGTTAGCGGGAAAATGGTCTTACAGCAGTTTTTAGCTCTTTCAACAACGTAGGTTGGTACACCGTCCACCGGAGGTTATGAATGTGTTAGCTTACATTTTTTTTATTAACAATGAGTGAGTGAGTTTGGTTTAACGCCGCTTTTAGCAATATTCCAGCAATATCACGGCGGGGGACACCAGAAAATGGGCTTCACACATTGTACCCATGTCGGGATTCGAACCTGGGTCTTCGGCGTGATGAGCGAACGCTTTAACCACAAGGCTACCCGACCAACTTAATTAAGTTGTAAATGCATTATTTAAATAATGTGATAAACTACATTAATATTTATAAACAATAGGATTAGACCTTTCAAGTGGTGTATAACATGTAGTAGCAAAGATGTTTTACAAGCAGATATTTTCTTTGATAAATGTTGGCTTCATCTATCACACAAGAGTCTCTGGGAACTCGGTGTCACAGCAGTAAACTCTTCTGATTGACTGGTGTTGAAAGAGTTAGTGGTAATAGCGTGACAGAAGTCAGTGGGAAAATAGTATTTTAACACTTTTGAATGCAAATAGTATATCTGTGACAGCAGTTTGTTGGAAAATAGTATTTTAACAGTGTTGAGTGGGAATAGTATATTATATTTGACAGCAGTTAATGGAAAAATAATACTGTAACTGTGTTGGAGGTGAGGGGAAATGGAGTTTAAAGTCATGTTCAAGATTATTGCCCTATTATATAGCAATGTGCATGCACGTGTGTGTGTGTGTGTGTATAGATGCTTATACTAGTCCGGATTAATGCTGATTTTATAGTGCTCCCCCACTGAGATACCATGCGACTGTTTAACATGAATACCCCACTCAGACACAGTATATTGACTCCGAGTCCTTGTTTAAGCCCCTTAAAGCCTAGCGCAAGACAGGGTAACAACAGGTACCATTTCTTAACGTCTTTTTCGTATGACACAACCGGGGATCGAACCCGGGACCTTCCACTCTCCGGGCAGACGCTCTACCACTAGACCACTTAGCAGTTTTGAGTTGGAATAATATTTGTATGACAGCAGTTTGTGGGAAAATAGTTTTTTAGCAGTGTTGAGTGGGAATCATATTTGTATGACAGCAGTTAGTGGGAAAATAGTATTATAACAGTGTTGAATGGGAATTAAGTATTAGTATAACAGCAGTTAGTGGGGAAAATAGTATTATAACAGTGTTGAATGGGAATTATGTATTAGTATAACAGCAGTTAGTGGGAAAATAGTATTATAACAGTGTTGAATGGGAATTAAGTATTAGTATAACAGCAGTTAGTGGGAAAATAGTATTATAACAGTGTTGAATGGGAATTATGTATTAGTATAACAGCAGTTAGTGGGAAAATAGTATTAT